TATATACCATAGTTTGTGGACACTATAACTTTTGTGCAAACCAATTAATATACACTTACTGGTATTTTTTTTGACCAAAACTATGTAGTAGAATACATATTGGCCTAAATTTATGAAGAACTTAGATTCTTTAAATTTTTTTTATTGGATATGTTTTACAGCAGAAAGTAAATATATATATATATATATATATTTTTTTTTTTTTTTTTTAATTGTCGGTCTTTTTTTTGTTTATAGCACAAAACAGTAAAAACCCACAGGTGATCAAATACCACCAAAAGAAAGCTCTATTTGTGGGAAAAAGGGACATGGACATGTACAGGATTGCATGACTGCGCAATAGCCAGTTAAAGTAAAGCAGCGCTGTTTAGCAAAAAATGGCCTGCTTACGAAGGGGGGTAAATCTTCCAGAGGGCAAGTGGGTAACCAGAAATGTCTTATACATCCAATGCATTTTGGGAGAACTGGACTCCTCCTTTGTCAGGAATGGACTCACCTGCCGTGTGAGCTGCAGTACCAGGGCTGACCAGCGGGTGCTCTCAGCAACCAGAAGTTCACTCCTGCAGTCAGCCATCAGCTGAAGCTGATTGCAGGAGGTGTATTTAAGTAGGACCAGGCCTGTGATCAGGGCCTTGGTGTATGTTTTCCATGAGCCCCTGTACCCGGTATCCTGTGTTCCTGCCTAGTTGCTGACCCTGCTTTGATCCTGACCTCTGTTGACCGTCTCCTGTTGAACCCCTGGCTTGCCTGACCATCCTTCTGCCTGATCCTCTGTACCGCGCTGCCCGTGAGTTACTGAACCCGGCTTGTGACCCTGACTATTCTCTGCCTGCTCCTCCGGTACCTCACTGCCCGCACGTTGCTGACTTGGCCTGCCTGACGCTACCCAGACGATCCATCCATCCCGCACGGATCTGTCCCTGTTACCAGGTCTGCCAGCCTCTTCACGTCAGGCTTTCCCACGGTACATACCCTCGGCGCACCCCTCTACCACAGTTGGGTGCACTCAGGGGCCGCGACCTGGTCTCAGTCCTGCGCCAAGTCCATCCCGACCATCAGGGGCTCTAGTGAAAAGGCAGACTGGGGGCTTAGACTCCGCGCCCTGGAAAATCCCGTTCTGTGGGTACTAGAGATCCCGCCGGGCCTAACGGCCTGCCTGACCATTCCACCTCTCCAGCCTGACTACGCCTGTGTTCCTGAAGCCTGCTACTTCCCTGTGTCAGTCCACACATTTCTGGTCATACCCGGATCCCTAACACCCTTCTTCAGGAATTGAGCAAAATTATGTAATAGTAATCAGTAAGAATTGATCTTTGTAACCTGGATTAGGGCTGAGTGTTAGTGTGACCTGACTGCAGTGAGGGCAGCTGACTTGATCATGAATATGGATGCCCCCATGTAATCAGACATTAGACTAACAAACGAGGTCTTTATTTATTTCAGGTACTTATATAGCGCTGTCAATTTACGCAGCACTTTACATATATATTGTACATTCACATCAGTCCCGAACCCTCAAGGGGTGTACAATCTAAGGTCCCTAACCCTCAAGGGGTGTACAATCTAAGGTCCCTAACCCTCAAGGGGTGTACAATCTAAGGTCCCTAACCCTCAAGGAGTAAACAATCTAAGGTCCCTAACCCTCAAGGGGCGTACAATCTAAGGTCCCTAACCCTCAAGGGGCGTACAATCTAAGGTACCTAACCCTCAAGGGGTGTACAATCTAAGGTCCCTAACCCTCAAAGGATGTACAATCTAAGGTCCCTAATTCTCAAGGGGTGTACAATCTAAGGTCCCTAACCCTCAAGGGGTGTACAATCTAAGGTCCCTAACCCTCAAGGGGTGTACAATCTAAGGTCCCTAACCCTCAAGGGGTGTACAATCTAAGGTCCCTAACCCTCAAGGGGTGTACAATCTAAGGTCCCTAACCCTCAAGGAGTGTACAATCCAAGGTCCCTAACCCTCAAGGGGCGTACAATCTAAGGTTCCTAACCCTCAAGGAGTGTACAATCTAAGGTCCCTAACTCACATTCATACATACAAATACTAGGACCAATTTAGACAGGGGCCAATTTTTTCAATTAACCTACCAGCATGTCTTTGGAGTATGGAAGGAAACCGGAGTACTCAGAGGAAAGCCACGCAGGCCCAGGGAGAACATGCAAACTCCAGGCAGGTGGTGCCGTGGTTGGGATTTGAACCATCGACCCGAGTACTGCCAGGCGGAAGTGCTAACCAGTGTTAAACATGAACATGAAGGATAAGATCATTTGCATTCGGCTCACCAATTTCACGTGTTTAGCTAAAAACACTGAAAAGAACTGTCGTTTGCTAGAAGTCTTTTAGGGGGCTTAAAAAAGATAACTTGATGGCAGGCGCTGACAGATTGGGAACCCTTTAATTGTGGAGCCGCAGATGATAAAGACCAATACGATGCAAAGGTTCCAGATGTCATGGAAAAAAGGGAGACTCCTTCCCGTATCCTCCCTTAAAACTGCTCCCTTTCCAGGTGGTGCCATACAATAAAAATCAATCAGTATTCAACTGTGAAAGTACACAAGCAACACCGCCGTACGCACACAGTCTCTGCATAATCCCCACACCCACGCCTCAACACCCCCCCCCCCCCCCAATCTATCCATGTGCGTAAAAATGTGTATGTCATGCTCAGCGCTGTAGAGATATGATACCTGCTAATCACCGAATGGGTAATCCAAGCAGTTCGGCACTAAAGTGGACCTGTCATTCTTAGTTGCCAACGGTTTCCACTTTCTAGAGTGGTAAAATATGTCTGTGGATTGTTCTATCCCTGGAATATTCTCTCCTACAGGGATCTATTGCCTTGCTTTATGCATATCACTCAACTTTCAGAGATGTAGAGATGGATGCCCTCCCAGAACTGGACAACTGTGCTGTAGCAGTCTTTTGGCTATCGTGCCGTTGGAAAGTAGAAATATAGGCAAAGCTTTTTATTTTTTTTTTTCATTTTGGATAGAGTAAGGAAGGGTTATAACCCCTGTCAGGTTTTTTTCGCCATCTGTTTCCCACTGCAGAGATTTCCCTTAATTTCCTGTCCCATAGCCAAACAGGAAGCGAGAGGAAATTCCTGAAAATTAAGGGATTTCCTTGGGGACCCTCAGGTCTCCAGAACTAGTGTCCCTGTTGGAAGATTTCCCCGCTATTACTTTTCTGGGGACAATCCAAAATTTGGGATTTTCTTTTACTTTCACTTCAATGATAATAGTAAACAAGACATACAGAGGGGGGATCTCCTTAACAGGAGCACAGATCGCAATAAAAACCTGACATGTTCTATTCTATCTACACTCTATCCAAAACTGAGAAAAAACTTTAAGAATGCCTGATTAACCCTAGCAATATCTTTCCCCCACCCATACCATGTCAATTTTAATAAAAATGATTTTTTAGATCTGCTTGGAGTTGAGCTTTAAGAACAGCCAAGGAACAGCTTAACAAGAACCAGTCATGTATAAATAAAAGTACTCCTTAGCACTTCTCATCCTTGCTACCGTGGAAGAACCCCTAAAATATTTTTAAGCTAAAATTAATTAATTGGGGTCAGTGGTAAGAATGCCCCTTACATTGGTGGTCATTAGGAAGAATACCCCCCCCCCCGCCACCATCACAGTGGTAATCAAAGTGTCCCCCAGGTACGGAGAGCTAAAGAGATCATTGGTGACATACTGTTCGCTCTGCCAGGTGGCACTGGATCCAATACTATGCAGGTCCCATCAGATTGGAGGTCAATTAGCCATAGCTCAAGGATCACATAGCAACCTCTAGAGCGGCCTCTCTCTAAAAGAGTTCCTCCAGAGATTACCAGGGGTTACATGAGCAATGGACAATTTATGCCTCTCAGATAAGTAACCGCCAGGGGCGGACTGACCATTTGGAAACTCGGGCACTGCCCGAAGGCCCGGGGTCAGTAGGGGGCCCCATGAGATGCCCCTCTTACCTTTGTCATAGGCTTTTTTGAGTTAGGGCAAGGACACAGGGGCCCCATGATCCCCTATTGCCCGGGGGCCCCATGAGTTGTCAGTCCGCCCCTGGTAACCGCTGTCAATCATGACAATTTTAGCTATCTGTAAGGAGGGGTTATTCCCAATGACCACAAATGTACAGTAAAGAGCATGCTTCCCAGTGGCCATCATGTACCATGAGCTGTAGATATCATAATTATTAGTAGAGGTTCCTCAAGCCTGGAAGGTTTGTTCAAGGGTTCCTCCATGTTAAAAAGGTTGAGAAAGGCTGCTCTAAAGAAACCCTGGGGCAGTGATGGCGAACCTTTTTGAGCCCGAGTGCCCAAACTGCAACACAAAACCAACTTTTTTATTTCAAAGTGCCAACACTGGAATTAATCACTTGCCTACCGGGCACTTCTACCCCCTTCCTGCCCAGGACAATTTTCAGCTTTCAGTGCTGTTGCGCTTAACAAAGACAATTGTGCGGTCATGCAACACTGTAACCATATGCAATTTTTATCATTTTTTCACACAAATAGAGCTTTTTTTGGTGGTATTTAATCACCACTGGGTGTTTTATTTTTTGCACTATAAATGAAAAAAGAGCAAAAAATTAAAACCATAAAAGGTTTCCTTTGCTTCTATTCTAAAATTTTGCAAACAGGTAATAATTCTTCTTTGATGTGCGTTGGTGAGGCTGCACTGATAGGCAGCACTGATGGGCATTGATGAGGCGGCACAGATAGGTAGCACTGATGAGGCGGCACTGGTGAGCATTGATGAGGAGGCACTGATGATGCACTGATATGCAGGAAATGATGGGCACTGATAAGCGGCACTGACTGATAGCACCAACTGGAGGCACTGACAGACGGCACTGACCGGCGGCATTGCTGGGCATCATTGATGGGTGGCACTGATGGGCAGCACTAATGAGGTGTCACAGATAGGTGGCACTGATAGGCGACACTGATAATGGGTACTGACTGACATCACTACTGGGCACTGACTGGCACAACCGCTGGGCACTGACTGGTGGCACTGACTGGCAGCACTGCTGGGCTGCACTGATGAGCACTGGTGGGTGGCACTACTGGGCACATGTGGGCACAGGTGGGCGCATTGCTGGGGACAGGTGGGCGCACTGCTGGGCACAGGTGGGTGCATTGCTGGGCACAGGTTGGCGGAACTTGTGTGTGGCACTGCTGGGCACCGATCATCAGGGCACTGATGATCAGTGACCCTGATGATCGGTGCCGTTCCCTGCTCTGACAACTGCCGGTTTTCGGCAGTACTTTCCTCACAATCTGACAGCGTGAGGAAAGTGCAGCCGAGAACCGGCATTTGCATTTCCCGGTGATTAGCGTGTCATTGGACACATGGTAAAAGGCCGCTGTGATTGGCCTTTTACCACGTCACGTGATCAGCTGTGTCCGTAGGACACAGCGATCACGGAGATCGCCCGGTGCGCGCCCCCGGGGGTGCGCAGGAGAGCGCATTCTCTTCCTCTTGGCGTGCCCACTGAGATGGCTCTGCGTGCCAGCTCTGGCACGTGTGCCATAGGTTCGCCATCACTGCCCTAGGGGTTCCATAGAACCATGTATGTTAAAAATGGCTGATTTAGCAAATGGATACCTTTAATTGCTGTGTAATTTACATCTGCCTTCTAAGTGGGTTTATTGCAAGTGTTCCTGAGTAGTCACAAAGCTCTCTGTAGCTCAAGTAATATCTCTTCCTCTACAGTCCGTTAAAGTGGACCTTCACAATCACCACACACCCCCACCTTCCTACTCTCCCACAGTTGGGATATTTATTTTTTTAATACCTTTTTTCTTGTCCTATCCGGGTGCTCACAGGATTCCTGCCTAGGTGAAAAATATGTCCCAGCTGCCTACAGCCTACTAGGATAATTATGTCATGAATTAGGAGGCCTCAGGGTACTCTACAGGGCATGAGCCCACTGCACATTATCAGGGGGCCAGCTATCTCTTCCTAGCTCTTGCAGCAGGCTCTCTGGTGACCTGCCATGGTGAAGAAGACAGTGCAGGACCATGAATGCAATGGCGGGTTGGTAAATTGCAGTGGGACAATCAGCAGGACGCTAAATTCACTGGACTTATTAGCATGTATTTTGGGGAAAACCCAACTAACAAGGTAAGAAGAATAAAAAAAACAACATGGGGTGAAGTTCCTCTTTAATTAATTAATTTGTAAAGCGCTGAGCAAACTGTCGGCGCTATATAAATCCTGCATAATAATAATAATTAGTGGATACTTCAGACCAGTGTTAGTGCATTCTGAATGAATTTCAATTTTGTTTTTATAATTATTATTATTATACAGTATTTATAAAGCGCCAATGGTTCGCTCAGCGCTGTACATTACAAAGGGGGACAGAACATGTGACAGAACAATACCAATACAATGCAAAACATGAGGGGATTGAGGACCCTGCTCTTTCGAGCTTACAATCTAGGAGGGAGGGGATGGTGGCACAGGAGGAGATAGCTGTGGGGGATGGAGTGGTAGGAAGAGTGGAGGAGGTCGGCAAGTTAGCAGGGGGTGGGGTAGGCTTCCCTGAAGAGATGGGTTTTCAGGGTGCGCCTAAAGGAGAGGAGAGTAGGTGATAATCTGATGGGTTGGGGCACGGAGTTCCAGAGGATGGGTGACACCCTGGAGAAGTCCTGGAGGCGGGCATGGGAGGAGGAGACCAGGGAACTAGAGAGAAGGAGGTCTTGTGAGGAGCGGAGTGTGTGTGCTGGGCGGTACTTGGATATTAGGTCAGTGATGTAGTTCGGGGCAGTATGGTGGACAGCTTTGTACGTCAGTGATAGGATTTTAGATTTGATCCGTTGCACAATCGGAAGCCAGTGGAGGGATTGGCAGAGGGGGGTGGCGGAAACAGAGCGGTTGGAAAGGTGAATGAGTCTGGCAGCCGTATTCAGGATCGACTGAAGCGGGGATAGCCAGCAGCGAGGCAGGCCAGTGAGGAGGGAGTTGCAGTAGTCGAGTCGTGATATGATGAGGGAGTGGATGAGCTGTTTAGTGGTTTCTGGGGTTAGGAACGTGCAGATTTTGGCGATGTTGCGGAGGTGGAGTCTGCACGAGTTTGTTAAAGATTGGACTTGGGGGTGGAAGGATAGGTTGGAGTCCAGAATGACACCAAGTACTCTGGCCTGCGGGGCGGGTTTGATGGTGGCGTTGTTGGATGTGATGGAGAAGTCAATGGGAGGTGGTGTCCGGGCTGGGGGGAAGACAAGAAACTCATAATAAAATAAGTTGGCTTTGTGGATAGAAAATGGAGCCTTTACAAAGAAGGGGCAGTCATTTATCTGTGCCTAAGGCAAATCACCTCTACATAAAACACTAAATATGTTGGAACTCCACATATGAATAAAGTCAATTAATTATGTTCAACGCCTTTTATCCATTATACAATATTTGTAACAAAAGTTTGCAATGAAGAGTACACTTGAATAGAAAACTATTATAAAAATAGCTCTTGCCAACATATAGAATAAAACAAAAGCACAACCTCCAGAGCAATGTATGAAATAAGCCGAGTCGGGAAAGGAGCTGATCTCAGCACCGCCATAAAACCTCAGTACAAGCAATGCTAATGACATTTTAAGCTCATTTTAAAGAACTCGGGGATTTGAACAGATTTGAATGACATTGTGGGAACATTTTTTTTTTATCTTGCTCTGCGGGTTGTTTCGCGGAGGAAAAAAAAAAAAAGAGAATTTTTAAAATGATCTGCAATTTGAAGTGATGGAGTAAGTTCACGGCAACTTGAGGATCCTCATTAAAGCTTCATTTAAAATGACGCATCATTTTCCGACACAAGTAGTATATTGTACTGCATTATTCTGCCCATCAAGCTTTATTAACTTGAAGTAGAGGATTGTCAGAAGTTACCAGTAACAGAGAAAGAGAAAATGATAGAGGACAAGAGGAAAGGGAGGGGAGATAGTAAGACTGAAGTAGACTTGCAGCTATGGAAGCTGCCTCTAGGCAATTGGATATAAAATAATTTAGGCCCGACTGAAGCTACATAAATAGAAATGCAGTGAGATAGACATTGTACTGACAGCCTCAAATTCATAGTCCTAGCATTTCTTTCCTGTTACAGCAGTTGTGCTAGGTGTCTATAGTCACTTTTTGACTATTCACTTCAATAGGCGTAAGAGTGCACACAATAATCAGGACTCAGCAACAGAGCTGGTCAGACATGCCTTCTCTCTTTTTCAGTGTAATGCCTATGAAATGTGCTGGCCTTGGGTCCTTGGTTTCCTTGAAGATTTTTACAGTAAAGCACCGTTGCCCATATGCCAGAAGCACGGGGAACGCCAATATCAAACCCGCCCTGCAGGCCAGAGTACTTGGTGTCATTCTGGACTCCAACCTATCCTTCCAGCCCCAAGTCCAATCTTTAACAAACTCGTGCAGACTCCACCTCCGCAACATCGCCAAAATACGCACGTTCCTAACCCCAGAAAACACTAAACAGCTCATCCACTCCCTCATCATATCACGACTCGACTACTGCAACTCCCTCCTCACTGGCCTGCCTCGCCGCTGGCTATCCCCGCTTCAGTCCATCCTGAATACGGCTGCCAGACTCATTCACCTTTCCAACCGCTCCGTTTCCGCCACCCCCCTCTGCCAATCCCTCCACTGGCTTCCGATTGCGCAACGGATCAAATTCAAAATCCTAACACTGACGTACAAAGCCGTCCACCATACTGCCCCGAACTACATCGCTGACCTAATATCCAAGTACCGCCCAACACGCACACTCCGCTGCTCACAAGACCTCCTTCTCTCTAGTTCCCTGGTCTCCTCCTCCCATGCCCGCCTCCAGGACTTCTCCAGGGTGTCACCCATCCTCTGGAACTCCCTGCCCCAACCCATCAGATTATCACCTACTCTCCTCTCCTTTAGGCGCACCCTGAAAACCCACCTCTTCAGGGAAGCCTACCCCACCCCCTGCTAACCTGCCAACCTCTTCCACTCTTCCTACCACTCCATCCCCCACAGCTATCTCCTCCTGTGCCACCATCCCCTCCCTCCTAGATTGTAAGCTTGAAAGAGCAGGGCCCTCAATCCCCTCATGTTTTGCATTGTATTGGTATTGTTCTGTCACATGTTCTGTCCCCCTTTGTAATGTACAGCGCTGAGCGAACAATTGGCGCTTTATAAATACCGTATATTAATAATAATAATTCCCTAGGCTAAAGGAAACTTGCAGAGTCACAAGATATAGCTAGAATGAGGCCACTTGTATTAGATAAGACTTGTTTGTGCAGTTAGAAATGTCTAGAAAAGTCTGTTACTTTAGCTCCCAGGGCTTATTGCCATAAGGCTTAAACATCTTGAACTTAGAGAAAACCTAGATGGCAGTATGAAGATAAGCGTTTGATCATGTGTTTAATAGGCCTGCTAGATGGCATGATAGTGATAAGTGACTGGGTATGACTCTGATACCTCACAGAACCTTTCAGTGTTATCTGAAAAAGAGCATCTTGGAGCGGGTGAAGTACCACCTAATATGGGATTGCGGCCAGAGGCACTGAGCGGGGATATTTAGGAGAAGCCTGGAGACAATGGGATCAGAAGCCATTCCATGCGTGAGGGGATGCTCTGATGCTGGGATTTTTGCCGAAGCTGCATGGATTCATCGGTCGGTTGTGCTCTGGGCTTCTCCATGATCTCCTGTGCACTGTGGTTCGATGAGGTCTCTTCCTTCCCTTCTTCCCGTAGCTTTGGTAATGTATTAATTCTATGCTGTGATGCTGTCAAAAGTTGTGTTTATTTCATGCTGTAATACTCACATGACTATTGATGTGTGTTATTGTGCAGATTGTGATGACCATAAGAAATATCCTCCTGTGTGTTCTGTGATAATAAAAGTGGAGGTTTTGACAATGCAAGAATACTGCAGTTGGATTCTGTTATTTCTTGGGGTGTTGAGGGAATGCTGCATGATGTGCCATGGCAGTTTTACACTTGGTAGTGTGTCCCTCACAAACTATGGTGAGAGTGCTAGTTTTGATCATACCTGTGCAGTGTGTGTAACTTGCTCTTGGTTTTTGTGTCCAGCCTTGCGTTACACTCTGCAATACAAGTCTGTAGGAAGACACTTGTGATGAGGTCTGTTGCTGTTACTCAGCTCTGCCAGCATAGAGCACTGCAGTATGAGGGCAAGAAACAGCATGGTCACTTGGGCAGGCCATACATTATGCAATTCTCTTTCCTGCAACCACAGGTTGAAGGAAAGAAAATCGCTCGATTTCCCCCATCAACTCAGTCAGGGTTGAAGGGGGGATCCCTTCCCGCAGCACTAATGTGTTCTGACAGCGGGGAGCACTGACAGAATACAATGATCACTGTAGTGGCTATAGCCACCGGCAGTGATTGGGCAAGAAAAAAACAAAAACAAAAAAAACAAAAACAAAAAAAACAACAAGCTGGTTGTACTAAAGGCGATAGATATATAGTATAGTCAGCCTGCCCATAGATGTATTGAAATTCACCTGGTTCCTGCTGGACCAGCTGAATTTCAATCTGTCTATGGCTGGCTTTAGAGTGAGGGTCAATTTTAAGCACAACATGTGAAATACCGAACTATAAAGAGATTAAAAGGCGCAAGACTTCAATTGAGGTTTAAGTTTCCTAGCGATCAACTGTGATAATCCAGCAACAAAAGAAATCCAAAAAAGAAAACCTGCTACCCTAGGTGGATGATAGAACATGCTCAGAAGGGGGCATTCCAACCTATTTGAAAATCTTGTGTGACCTACCCAAAAGTATTATTCACACATCCACACCTTCAATCCATGTTGTACCAGAAAAAGAGGTACTATGGTGACATCTGTGCACCTATGGTCAGCTTAACCACTTGCCTACCGGGCACTTTTACCCCCTTTCTGCTCAGGCCAATTTTAAGCTTTCATTGCTGTCACACTTTGAAATACAATTGTGCGGTCATGCGACACTGTAAAAAATAAAAAAAAATAATTTTTTTTTTTCTTGAGAATAGAGTTTCCTTTGGCAATATTTAATCACCACTGGGATTTTTTACTAAAGTAACAATAAAAGACCAGAAACAATTGAGTACTGTCTGTGATACTTTTTTTATTTGCACTAACATACAATTTTGAGGACAAGCTTTCGGGGTATGTCCCCTTCTTCAAAGTTTGGACTTTGAAGAAGGGGACATACCCCGAAAGCTTGTCCTCAAAATTGTATATTAGTGCAAATAAAAAAAATATCACGGACAGTACTCAATTGTTTCTGTCGCAAATGCACTAATACGGCTACAATCACCTCATGCAAAAAAAGACCAAAAATTTTGAAAGAAAAAAGTTTTTCTTAGTTTCTTTTATTAAGTTTTGTAAATAAGTGCTTTTTCCCTTCACTGATGTGCGCTGATGAGGCACTGGTAGGCTGTACTGATGAGGCTGCACTGATCGATGGGCACTATTAGCCTCACTGATGGGGCTACACTGATCATCAGTGCCCTGGTGATCAGTGTAGATGTCCCCCTGAGAAATGCCACCTACCAGCTCTCCTCTCGCGCTGTCAGTATGAGGAGAGGACTGCCGATAACTGGCATTTCCGATTTACATTGTGATCAGCTGTGGTTGGTCACAGTTGGTCACATGGTAAAAGGCGGCTCTGATCGCTCACATCGATCACATATCGCACACAGTACACTCTCCAGGGGGCATGCGGGGCAGTGATTCTGGGAGGACATCCATGGCCACCCTCCCAGAACTAGCCGACCGAGCTGTAGCCGTCATTTGGCTATAGCGCAGTTGGGAAGTGGTTAAAATAGAAGTCTCAGTTTGCCAACATTTGCAAATTTAGCAGTGTGTCCTCTATACAGTGTAGTCCCTACAGATTCGCATATGTTTTTGGAGGCCACCTTTCATATATTTGCTTGAAGGTACCATGACAGTGTGAAGCCCTGCCAGTATGTAAGATTAGGTAATGAAAGTAGAAATCACACAGGATTCTTAAAGGCACAGTTTGAGAAGCTCTGGCATGTGTATCGTGAGTGGAGAAAGCTCTCTTTTAAAAGATAATTTCACCTGTGGGAACATGTTACATGTTCCACCAGTTTTTAGGGTGGAAAATGTAATATGTTCCACACTCCTGCAGCCTCTTACCGATTCCCCCCCCCCACACACATTGTGACAGCAAGCCAGGGATCCTCTCCCGGCACCCGCTGTCACAATTTAAAAAGAACGAGACCATGCAGGTCTCCACCCACACAGTCATGTCATTCATTCACAGAGATCTGTGATTGAATGAACTACAAGTACTGACAGCCTTTGCTGGTGACGGCTTCTAGTTCTCAATGTACTACCAGGGCGCAAGAGAGTGCTCTAGGTAGTTCATTGAGTCTTCCTGTCATTGTGTAATTTCCTGCCCATATGAGGTACGAACAGACAGCTTAATCTGACAATCTGCAGGAGCCCTGCATTGCACTTGATATGTTTTAAAAGGCTCCTAAAAAAAAAATAGTAAATGCACATTTTTTTACCTGTGATAAAATGTGCATTTATTTATTTCTTTTTTGAAAGGTGAACTTATCCTTTAAGCTTTCTCTGGATTTGGTAGTTCTGGATTGGGGCCTGGAGCTCGAAGGTTACAAAGAATCTTAGGTGGGAGGAGAGCCTTTAGTCCTTTGTCCATGCTTTGTTAGATGCCTGCAGCCTTTGTGAGTGCACAGGTGTGCAGGATCATCATACGCCAGATCTCAGAATAGATCAGTGCAGTTATTTCCATTTGGAAACAAAGCTGTCAGGAGAGCTGAGTGTTCCTGCTGGAGACAGTTGCAAATAGTGGAAAAGTTTGTTAGGGGGAATATGGTGATTTTCCCTAAATTGCTGAAAAGTGCAGAGGCTTTTCACAGTCAGCATAGAATGGACGGTCATAAAACAGCTGGAGATCCACCATGAGAAAGCATGTTTATCCATTATCCCTGGGGGGAATAAGGGGCAATCAAACAGCTGTAACAGTGGTAAATGAGAGGACATCAAACCCACAGAATATATGCAACAGGATTTTTTTATTTGCACCGTGTCAGGGCAGGAGCTGTGGAACGGACAGGCAGGCCTAGAGGCAGGGTCACGCACTGACGACAACCACCACCCACAGACCGGAGTCCCTCAGGGCGCGGAGTCTAAGTCCCAGGCTGCCTTTCACCAGGGCCCCTGAAGGTGGGGATGGACTTGACGCAGCCAGAAACCAGGTCGCGGCCCCCGAGACACCCCAGCTGCGGTAATGGCCGCCGCCAATGGCGTGTAGCTGGTAGGAATCAGATCAGACAATAGCGTAGTCGGGCAGGCCGGGTCGACAACAACGGGACAATCGGTACAGATCAGTAGACAAGAATCACAGGTCACAGGCCGGGTTCAGCAACGGGAGGTCAGATCAAAGGAAAACGCAGAGAATGGTCTAGTCACAAGCCGAGTCAGATTCCAGGAGAGTCACGAGAGTATACACAGAGCTGTTGCAACACTAACACACAAGACACAAATGCAAAGGGCATGTGCGGACAACAGACTTATATGTAATCAACCACACCCCTCTGGGGGATGGACCTCAGAGGCCTGAAGGCATAAAAGGCTCCCACCATGCTCTTAGCAGAAACCCAAGATGGATGCCAGCACATGGAGCAGCACAACCTCTGGGAAAAGGTAGGACCTTGACACACCGGCAGATAAATAAGTTGGTGGGGAGTACCAGCAAAGTATCACAGCAGAGGAGGAGATGTACCTCTCACTTTGTCCTGAATGGGCAAAGTACAGGTTCTCTTTGAAAACAACATCATCCCATACATTTACTGATCCTGGGCCAGAATCTAAAACTGTGCAAATGCGGTTTGGGGTGTTCCCTGGTTCCAATCACCATCCCAGATCTAGAAAAAGAATACCTTAACTACTATATGGGTGGGGGAAGAAACTGTAGTCAGAATGTAGAGAGAGTTAAATACTAAAATCATTATTACTTAGTCAATTCCTGCTAGAAATCCTATTTATTTTTTATTTGTCTCATTTAAAGCTTAATGGTAGTTAAAACTTTATGAAATGCTGGAAGGTTTTTAATTTGCTTGGCCATATCTTCTTGTTACATCTCCCTCAGTGCTACTATACAGTTTATAATGTTCACAGCCTCGAAACGCGTCAGAGCTGCTGATGGTAATGAATGGGGCTCGATGCTCCACTTCTTTCACAACACCCAACAGACACAGTAAATTGGGCACTCGTGCCCACACGTGTGTATAGTCAGAGAAATCCAACATAGATTGTACTACAGCAGCTGAGTGGTCCCAAAAGGCCTCACTCCCTGATTAAAGATGTAGTAAGCTGAAACATTCTCTCTGCCTAAATGTGCTTAGTGAAATGCAATGTGTACATGGTATGCAACCCATCTATGCTGTTCACGGGTAAATTCAGGAGCTATTTGCCTCCCCTTAGACACAGTCGCTGTCGTTTTTGGCCAAGCTGGGCTACGATAGATATATCTGACCCCTGGCCATGCTCAGGCCACCTCTGAAGACAAATTCCTGGGGAAATACAGATCAGTTGAGCTTGATAAAACTAGCATTGGAGTTTCCTGGGCATGCTGCCTCCCCTCCTCCTCCACAGGTATAACATGCATGTTCACATGGCGTGAGAGTAAGTGCCTATGTATTTATAAAGCATCCATTGTTGGTGGTGAGCCCATGAAAAGTGGACAGCTATCTCAATGATTGTGGGATCACATGGGTGTAAGAAAGTTCAAGACGCCCAGTGCCCAAACTCTATACAGAGTTATTCCAACAAGGTAGGACTTCCAATAGTGGAAGGTCCTCTTTCTTACCCTACTTGGAAGACCATACATGGTCTGATCCTCACAAGCACTATAGATGGAACTAGGCAGTAAGTAGTCATACTTAAAGGGGAACTTCCCTTCCCCACCCCATTTTTCACTAGATTATGCATAAAAAACATAGCGATCACCTAGCGATCCAGTGGAGTTCTGAAGGAATCTGCCACTCTGTCCCTGCACACCTTGTCCTGTGCCGCCATCTTCTTTGACGTCAACAGGGGGCTAGCTGTCTCCTTCAGGTTTTTGTAGCCAGCTCCCTGATAATACACATGCATCGTGGCTCATCACCAGGGGGGTGATTGCAAGAACTGGGAAGAGACAGTGGCCTCCCTGATGATGTGCTTTGGTGCATGTGCCATAGTGCATCCTAAGAGCTCCTGGAATGCATGATGTGGCTATCCCAGGAGGCTATGTACAACAAATACCTCATCCTGCCTAGGCGAGAAACCAGGAAATGCAGGGAGGCTTCCGTGCAAAAAAATTATTTTAAAAAGTAATCAATAAAAAATATCTGATTGTTAGAGAGGAAGGGGGTAGGTGTGTAATGACAGAAAGCCTCAACCTCTGCCTGCCTCTTGTCTGCTGCTTGCCTTGACCCTTGCTTGAACCTGACTACTCTCTTGCCTGTCGCCTTCCAAGACCTTTCCATGGACCTGAAAACTCTCTTTCCTGCCGTGTACCTCAACCCCTGCCTGGTTCTGACTACTCACTTGTCTGCTGCCTGCCATGACCCCTGCCTGGACCTAACTACTCTCTCATTTGCCGCCTGCCTTCACCCTTGCTTGGACCTGCCTACTCTCTTGCCTGCCACCTGCCTTGACCTGACTACTCTCGTCTGCCACCTGCCTTGACCTAACTACTCTCTCATCTGCTGCCTGCCTTGGCCCTTGCTTGGACCTGACTACTCTCTTGCCTGTCGCCTTCCAAGACCTTTCCATGGACCGGAAAACTCTCTTTCTTGCCGTGTACCTCAACCCCTGCCTGGTTCTAACTACTCACTTGTCTGCTGCCTGCCTTGACCCCTGCCTGGACCTGACTACTCTCTTGTCTGCCATCTGTCTGGGTCTGACTACTCTCGTCTGCCACCTGCCTTGACCTGACTACTCTCTTGTCTGCCACCTGCCTTGAACCCTGCCTGGACCCAACTACTCTCATCTGCTGCCTGCCTTGGCCCTTGCTTGAACCTGACTACTCTCTTGAGTGCCACCTGCCTGGACCGGACTACTGTCTTGCCTGCCACCTGCCTTGACTGGACTACTCTCTTGCCTGCCACCTGCCAAGACTTTTGCCTGACCTAACCACTCTCTTGTCTACAACCCTGTGAGTAGTCTCTACACCACAGCCTTTCTCCTCCAGTCATCCTCTGGCAGGGTGATCCCATGAGTTGCGACCTGATGCCAGTTGTAGCAGAAAAACGAAAAAAAAAAACCAGGGCCACTAGGTTTCTAGGCTTTCTCCACCATGAGAAAACCCTGGTAAAGATAACCCTGTCGAACGTGACACATTCATGCAAATGGGGAAGTACAGTTGTGGCACGTTTGACAGCAAAAAGGGGGATAAAACAGGTGGTGAGAAAGAGTCACATCGCTTCCTCACCACCTGTCAGTAGTCTCTAAAGTGCGATCCGAACGCAGATCATGCTTCACAGTAAGGTAGTCTTAGATGCACGTCTAAATCTACCCTTCATGGACTTTTCATTTTATCTTGCTATTTTTGTCTGGAGTTTTTAAAAAAAAAG